ACCATAGAATCGATATGTTAAATTGACGGAATGAATGTGAAAAGTTTTGAATTGTCATATGTAAACCTTCTGCTTACCGTAACACTTTAATACTTCAGCCTAGATAAATAATGTTGGATGACATTTATGTACAAAAGAATGGTTTTCATTGTGAATTCCGTACATTGTGATGCGTACAATAATATAAGGACATAAAATTGATATGTTATATTGACAAAATGAATGTCGAAAACTTTGAAGTATCATATCAGTCTACGTACAGGTACACTGAAATACCTCAGTTTTGATAAATAATATTAGATGGTATTTTATGTACAAAAAATGGTGTTCGTTGTGAACGCGGCGTATATTAATGTAAGGCTATAAAATCAATATGATATGTTGACAGAATGATTGTCAAAAATATGTCAATGTAAACCTCATTCCACGTAACGGAATTCGGTAATATTTCAGGCTCGGTAAGTAATATTTGATGATGTTTGCGTTCAAAAAAATAATGTTTATTATGAAACCCGTGAAGCGTATATTAATATAAGACCATATAATTGATACGATATTATCAGAATGAATGTCGAAAATTTTGAATGGTTATACGTCAGCCCCGTATCGTACTGGAGTACTTTAACATTAATATATCAAACTTGATAAACAATATTACATCATCTTTGTATTTTAAATATTGTGTTCATAATGATCCCCACGACGCGTAGAATATTATGACAATCAGATAGAGATAATGTAATTATACGGTTAATGTATGAAGCTTTGAAGGAGCATATGTAAACTACACTCCGTATCGGGACTCCGTAACATATCAGGCACGAAAAATGAAATTGCATGATGTGTGCATACAAAATAATTCTGTTCATAATGAATCCTGCGTGGCGTAAAATGATATAAGACAATCAGATCAGAATAATGTATTGATGTACTGACAATGAATGAAGCTGTGAAGGAGCGCCTGTATTCTTCATACCCCGTACTAGAAATCTGTAACATTTCAGATTCGACAAATTATATTAGGTAATGTTTTTATGCAAAAGATGTAGTTTGTTGTGATGCCCGCGACACGAAGAATAATATAAGATCGAAATCGAGATATTGCAGTTAAACGTGATTGTTCAGAATTTTCAAGGAGAATATATAAACATTTCACGAATCAGAGTACCGTATAACTATAGGGTCGAAAAGTAGTATAAAGTCATCGTTATATATTAAAAGGTCGCGTTCATAGAAATCCTCGAGTTACGTAGAACATAAGACCATCTGATCGAAATATTATATCTATACGGTGAATGTAGAGAAATATCAAGGCGCATAAGGAAACCTCAAAATTTCAGGGACAATAACTAACGTTTTATAGTCGTTATATTTTTTAAAAAAATCTGTTCAATGTGAACCTCGCGTTGCGTGGAATAATATAAGTACGTCAGATCGAAGAGATAAATTCATACAATGTTTGTCGAAAATTTAGAATGGTCATATATATGAAGAACCCAAATCGTACCGAAAGACCGTAATACTTCAGGGTCGATAAATAATATTAGATCGTAGTAATACATTGAAAAATTTTGTTCATTGTGATCCCCGCGATGCGGAGAAGAATATAAGAACATCAGTTCGAAAAGCCTGACATAGTATATCGATAATGTGAACGTCGAATATATTCATGTAGCGTATGTAAACCTCATTCCGTGTACATGAACACCGTAATATTTCAGGGACGATAAATATTACCTCGTTATGTATTAAAAAATTGTGTTCATACTGATATCTGAGGTGCGCAGAATAATATAAGTCTATCAGATTGATATATTGAAGGAATGAATGTCGAATATTTTGAAGGTTCATATGTAATCTTCGAAATATATTGTTCATAATATGTCAGGAGCGATAAATAATGTTAGGTGACATTTATTTCTAAACAGTAGCGTTCATTATGATCCTCGCGGTGCGGAGAACAATTTAAGGACTTCAGATCGACACATTGATAGAAGGAATGTCGAAAATTTTGAGTTGTTATATGTAAGCAAAGAGATGTAACGGAGTAACGTTACACTTCACTACCGATAAATAACATTAAATGATTTACGTATAAAAAAATAGTGATTACTGTTCCCTGCGATGCGTAGAATAATATAAGACAGTTTGAAATAATATATATCAGAATGAAATAATATATTGATACGGTGAATGTCGATAGTTTTCTAGGAGCATATGTAAATTTCATCCCACGTGTCGGAAATCCGGAATATTTCAGGATCGATAAATAATATTATATGATATTTATGCACAAAGTTGTGTTGTTCATTGTGATAGCCACGATGCGTAAAACAATATAAGACTGTCAGATCGATATGATATATTGACAAAATGAATGTCAAAAATTTTAAACTGTCATATGTAAACCCCATTCCACGTACCGGAACTCCGTAATATTCAGGCACGATGAATAATATTAGTTGATAATTATGCACAATAATATGTGATCATAGTGATCCTTCGGATCGGACATTCTTGAGTCATATTCGTGAACTTTGTCTCTAGCAGGACGTCTCCACCAGTTGTGTGTCGGTCTACGGCCCGAGCGGGAGTCGTTCCGTACGACGGAACACTCACGATATTGGGCCGTAGCCAATCTATTCTCGAGTGTGTGTGCTTCTATCGCGCCGCATACTCGATTAGAATTTATTCAGAAGTACTGATGCTGTGCCGTCCCCGGCCCTAGCCAGCTGTGTTAGGCGGTGTCATCAGACTGGCCAAACCTCAGATTAATGGTCGACCAGTCTATTGCATTGGGTACATCCAGTACTCCTCGTGAAACACGGATCAATGAT